ATGTTGATGAAGCTCTTGAATAAAGAGTATATAGAAGTTGAATGTAAGATATAAAGTATTTCATACAAAACAATAATAGACTCACTTATGTATGCAATAGAAGCCATAAGAGTAGATCTTGTATTTAATATGAATATTGTGAGCCAATACATGTTTAAAGCAGGACCTTTGCATTGAGCAATAGTAATGACAATATTGAAATATTGAAAAGGTACAAAGGACTTTAAATTATACATTGGTGGTAAGAACATTGATTTATAAGGTTATTATAATGCGGATTAGACTAGAGATACAAATGATAGAAGATCCACAATGAAATATTTATTCTTTATTGGAATGGAAGCTATTTTATAGAATTATAAGAGATAACCTACCATTGCAAGATCAACCATGGAAGTTGAGTACATGGCAACAAGTCACTATATAATGGAAGCATGATGGATAAGACAACTCTTAAAAGGCATTGGACTAGTGCAATTGGAAGCAACTCTAATAATGTATGAAAATCAAGGATGCTTTGCATTTGCTAAGAATCCAAAGCACCATTCAAGAACCAAGCATATTAATGTTTGATATTATTTTATACAAGATAAATTGAAGATGGAATAATAGATATGAAGTATTGTATTACAAAAGACATGCATGTTGATGTGCTTATAAAAACATTACTAAAGAATAGATACTAAGAATTGATAAAGACATTAGGCTTCAAAGCCTTTTGATAACTAGCAAAGTAAGAGTGTTGAAGATTAGCAAGATCTTACATAATTGCTACTACATAGAATCAAACTATATTAAGTTGTTAATAGTCAAAAGATATCAAAGGATTAAAAAAAGTTACTATGGTAGTGGCTAGGATTTAAGGTGGTACTTAGATTAAGAGGAATTTAGGATTTAATTAGATATAGCAAGAAAGGATGAATATGATTGTAGATGAAGACTTTAACTATAAATAAAGACTATTAGAAGTGAGAGTCATCTTACTCCATACTTCTCTTGGGTAAAAACTTGTTGGTACTAAGTGTGTAGGTTTTAACTTTTTTTTCTTCAAATAGATCTATTCTAAGAATATAGAAGAGTATGAATTTTATATTTGTTGTACATTACAAAAATTAAAAGATCCAAGATTATACACTAAGATGAAAAAGTATGTATTTTACACCACTTAAGTTTACTTCTTAAGATACATCATTTCAAATAATAGTCTTATGATGGAATTTAAGAAGATCCAAACTATTGTAGATTGAAAAATTCCAAAAACAATTAGAAATGTGCAATGTTTTTTGAGATTTGTTAATTATTATTAAATCTTTATCAAGAACTTTTTTCAAGTTACGACCTCTCTTACATGCCTGACATGTAAAGATAAACTTAAGTGGAATAAAGAAGTTGAAGCATCTTTTGAAGCCTTGAAGATAGCATTTATTTTTGCATCAAAATTATATTTCATTGACTTTTTGAAGGTGTTCTTTATGGAAATAAATGCATCAAACTTTACTATTGATGCCATTCAATTACAAATAGAAGTAGACAACAAGCTCCACTCAATAGCTTTTCATTCTAGGAAATTTTCTACAATTAAGATTAATTATAAGATCCATGACAAAGAGCTTTTTGCAATTGTGGATTTATTTTTAAAATGATGTTATTATCTAAAAGATATTTCTAATCTAATTACTATATATTAAAATCATAAGAACTTCGAGTATTTCATGTCAACACATGTTTTGAATCATCGCCTAGCTCATTAGAGCATGTCTTTATTAAGATTTAATTTCAAGATTACTTATTGATCCAAAAAACAACAAAGTTTATTAGATGTCATTTTGAGATGCTCTTATCTTACATCAAAAGAAAGATATCCAGCTTTTGATCAATAAAGAATAATCCTCTTAAAGCTAGAATATTTTTTTATCTTTGAGCAATAAAATCAACATTGATTGTTGATTCAACCTTTGTCAAGAAAATTCAATCAAGTATATTCTTTAATCTTCTTATTCATGATATTGAGAGTAATTCTTCTAAGTCTCCTAATACTTCTAGGTTTGAATTCAAGAATAATCTAATTTATTTTAATAAATGATTATATATTTCAAAATGCATAGCAAAATTACATGTTCTTCAAGCTCATTATGACTTTTTGGCAACTAAATATTTTGGATATAATAAGACTTTGGAGATAATATCAAGAGATTTTAATTGGCATCAAATGTAAAAGGCAATTAAAGACCTTGTACAATCACATGATATTTTTTCAAGATCAAAAATTCTTTATTATTGACCTTATGGATTTTTCTAGCCATTATCTATTCTAGAGCAATTATGATCTTTTATTTCTATAGATTTTATCATAGATCATTCAATCTTAACTTTATATGATTTTATATTTGTGATAGTAGATTATTTTACTAAGATAGCATATTTTGTACTATATATAAAATATATCATAGATAAAGAAATTCCTAAGCTTTTTCTTAGCAATATCTATCGCTATCATGGATTACTCAAAGATATCACATAGAATAGGAGGACTCAATTTGTATTAAGATTTTGGAGAATTCTTTTTAAGATTTTAAAGGTAGATATAAAGCTCTTTTTGGCTTTTCATCCTTAAATTAATAGATAAACGGAACAAATGAATCAAGGTCTCAAGGAGTATTTGAGGTAGATTATCAACTATTATTAAGTTGATTAAATAACTTTTTTGTAATTCACAAAGTTTGCATATAATAATTTAATACATTTTTCTACTCAATAAACACCTTTCTTTGTGAATTATGATTATCATCCACAACTTGGTATTTTTGACTTTTTTAAAGTTGATAATCATACAAAAAAAGATTTAACAAATTGTTTGTCAAAGTTACATATAATAATGAAGGTGCAATTACAAGAAGTTCATGAATGACAAAAGATCAATGTAGATGCTTATTGAAAAAAAAACCATAATTCACCATAGGTGACAAGGTATGGCTACTTCATTGTAATATTAAAACTACTTATCCTTGTGACAAGTTGGACTATTGTAGGCTTAAATCTTTTTTTATTTGTGAACAAGTCAATCTTATTACTTATCGATTATATCTATCAAAATCTATGAAGATTCATCTTATATTTAATATATCTCTTTTTGAGCCATATAAGACAGTGAATATCTGAGAAAGAAGACAAATACCACCTTCTCTTATAAAAGTAGTTAATAATCAAAAGTTTGAGGTAGAAGAAGTTTTAGATTCAAGGCAACACCAAAATAAATTAGAATCTCTTCCTCATTGGTATAAACATGATGTTAATGAATCCACATAGGAACCAATAGGGAATCTTATAAATGCAACAAAGAAGATTGAGGCTTTTCATCAATGACATCCATCAAAACCAAGATGAAAAATAACAAATCTTTACTATAAAAGAAACAAGATCTAAGAAAGATAATATTTTACCTTTTAGAATATATTATAATTTGGCCACAAAGATTAGAATATATTATAATTGGCCACATCTTAGATTTCTTCAACATATGATGATTACTTTTGTGAAACTTCTTTCTAAAAGGATGGATAATATCACGGATATACATATTTATTCTAATATTTTCCTATATGATTAAGTAGTAGTAGGTAAAATTTGATTTATTTCATAATATTTCTAGAAAAGCTTCTTAAAAGCTTTATAAATGGTGCATTGACTTTACATGTGTTTTTAGTTGACTGCTTTATAAGTTAAGTTACTTGTCTTGCAAAGTGAATATGTTTTGGAGTTCCTATAGGATATTACCACGCAGTTCTTAGTTAAGAATATATATGGAGACAAAAATGAAGCCTTTTTCATTCTTGTCAATGCCTATCTAATCCTTAGTCTTATTTCAAGACTTTCTAGTGTTCTTGTCTTTGGCAATAGCCATTCTAGTTTAATACTATATCATCTTAGAGTAATTTTGTAGTCTTTTTGAGTGACACAAGAATGTATTGACATTTTTGTTCTTTGAGGTTCATGTCCTTGATAATATTTTACTTTAGAAAGATGGCATTGACAACTATATTGTCAAGTATTTTTACTAACTTTAACACACAACATATTAATTTGACTTTAAAACAACTCTTCAAGTCATCATTCAATTTAACAAATTTTCTATAATTATTATCAACAAAATCAAATAGACTATGTAATAATAATTTGTATGGAATTTTGTCCATATAAGTTAAAAATTGCCTTACATTAATTTTGTATCTTGTTGAAATTTTGCTCATATCATATACAAAAAAAAAAAAAAAAAAAAAAAAAAAAAATTACTTACCAATAAATATTGAATCCAAACCACAATAGATTACATTGCTATATTGTTGTGTTGGTTCTATCTGAGAAGGCAAATAGTTGCAAAGAACAAAGATTCTATAGTTACAATAATATTAATATATCAATGATCAAAGATGAAACTTATTATAGATTATGACTTAAATTATACAAGGAGCTTGAATTTGAAATTTTAAACAATATGCATTCAAGGTTGTAAAATGTAAAAAAAATTGAATACAAAAAATGAATATAATTATCTTTATATCTAAAAATAAAAATAGACTAAAAAAGAGATAAAAGTGATTCTGTGAGTTCAAGTTTGGAAATATTGGAGGTTTTCATTTGAATTTTGCATCACTATCTTGGATTGGATTTGCTGCAACTAAGTCCATTTGGTGTAAAGATTCGTCTGTGGCTCGGCCTCGTGTCTTGTATTGTAGAATACTAGGCGATTTATATGAAAAGTTTGTCTTATCTAAAAGTGATGCCTGCAAAAATGGAGATTCCGCATTAACATGTCTTCTGCCAACTAGCTGGTACCTGCTATGGAGGTAAGCTATTCATTTTCATGTTGTCCAACCCAGTTGCTCACATGCAATACTCGTGACGAATCCAAGACCGTCAAAACCATTCGAGCATTTCGAAAAAAAATGGTTGTGACGATTCAACAGGATTTCTATTGACAAATCCCAGAGAATAGCAAGATGTTTCAGCAAGTTTAAAGTTCTCAGTCTGTGCGCTCATGCTTTGCAGCAAAGATGCACACACTGGTAACACTGATAAAACATGTTCTCAACAAGGACTCCGAGCCCATTCTTACAACACGGTCATGATGGAACACCAATCCAGCAGACAAATCATAGTTGCAGTGCGATTAGTTGATCTCTGAACACTAATTACATTTGCACCCACAACAGGCACAACTTCATGACATGACGTTTCTGGGGGGTTTCTGTACATGCTCTCGATTCCTGTGAACCCGAGAGAATTTGGTTTCATGGCGCTTGACCACCACTTTACTGAACCTTTCGGTACACTTCTGTATTCTACAGCATCACATTACGTGAATGGAGAAAAGTGTAAGCGCTCGTTGGCTTGGCTGTCATCGTAATCCTCCTCAGAGAGGGGCTCGTCCTCTTCGTCTGATTCCAAGCGATGTGATGCTTCCATTGACCCTGTTGCCGTGCCACTTGTCCTTCGTCTCTCCAATTCCCTTTCTCTCTGCACATTCCATGACCCCATCTCACGTCACTGTACGGCTCAAGTACTCAGTTGGTAGTGACATCCAATCCTAATGCAACACATTCCAGACACGTGTCTACAAAACAGAAACATTCGCTCAACTTGTGGTGCCATTGCCACACTGAACAATCCAACACCAGCTGCAAAAGGTTACAATGACCAGATTTATGGATAACTCTTTACGGTCAAACTCGGTGCTCCATGAGCCTGAGAATACCAGAGACCCAACTCTGCACTGCGTGGTGGAGAACTGTGTCACACAGTAAACACATGAGCCAAATCTCACATCTGCGCATTCTTGGCTACGCAATCTCTGCCTCCACAAGACTCAGAATGTTATCAGAACACGAATTGCATCACGATCTGCTCGGGAAGGATAGTTACCAAACCGCAAGGTCGACTTACTCACCAAAAAATTCAAGTGGTCTTGCATCGTAAATGTCGCGGGCCCTTCGTCGATTCCGAATTCATCGGCTACTGAAGCCTCGTATTTTGCTGGAGATCCATCTAAACCAACCAAAAAAAATGATTAAGACTAGCTCACAAGCTTTTTACTCCTCACTCTACGACATGTATTCGTTCATTAACCATATAGCCTGCCATGATCAGAAATGCGGATACAACACTAGTTTGTGCTGATGGTGCGTGTATAAACTTGATGGAGAGTACACGCTTAAATAAGCACGGCAACTTCTCTTGACTTTCCAAAAGCCCTTTCGCAAACCTTTGGGCGACAGGTTCAACTTGTGTACACCTTGGAAATGAAAAATCACACAACCCAACTAGGAGGGCAAATGAGTACAGGTACGACAAATTCACTCGAAGGCCCAGTCATATTCCCTCTGATTCCCAGCTCGAAACGTGAAAAACTCAAGCATACCTCCAAAACAGTATATTAACATTCAGCTAAAATTTCCAACTGAGTAACCGAAGATCGCCAAAACCATAGCAGGGCTTCAAGTATTCAGGTTATATTATCCCAAAATATTCACTACACGGGATTAGGTTCCAGGAGCTAACGCAAACCATGCACTGACAGCCCAGCGGAAGAACTCCCAAAAGCCAAAATCTTAACAACTGCCAGACTTTCTTCCAGCTTGGACGTCCAGACAAGGGGATGAAAATCCAGGTTGACCCTGCGAGATCTCAGCCACACTACGCCTGCAGCAAGTCATCAGCCACTTGCACGATGCCGCCATAGCTGGCGCCCCTCAGAAGCGACCAGTGTAGCTCATCTAAAACCATGAAAAAAATACCCAAAAACCCACCGTAAAATCCCACAACATCGCAAGCGCAGGAGAAGCGAGAAAGCCTTACCTGCGAAGAAGACAACGCGAAAATCCGCCAGCGGAGCCGAGCACAGCACGATTAGAAACCCAATGTAGAGAGGGATGAGGACGATGGAGATGGCCATCGCTCCGGGTCGAACATGGCTGGCACGATCGAGGGCCTGCTGTGGAGTTGTCGACGTCGAGCGGTGCTTCTTCAACGCCTCCCCCCTTCGGCGCCTCTGCCTTGCCGAAACCCCCGAAGTGGACGGCTCCACGACCGGTTCCGCCGGTTCCCGAATGCCCCTTGCCACCGGTGCTAGCGGGTGGATCCGATAGAGGTGACTCGTCGGCACGGTGGCTGTTCGGGGGAGTTGCTATTGTCAGAGCTTGTGGAAGGCTACGCCTCGCTTTGTTGCCTGATAACTCCCTTGATCTCCAGTTTTTCATATGTTGCTGTTCCAACCGTTTATCGCATGTTCCAATTTCAAACTCTCTAATTCCAATTTTAAACTTATATTCATCAACTTTGTCCGAGTCTCTCTTTTGGTTGTGTTATGGTGGGATCTCAAGTTCGAGTATAAAAAAATCTGGGTTTTAGCATTATACCTTTGTGTTTTGATTTGATTTTTATGCTTTTGGTTGGATGCTTTTACTATAAATTTTAAATTTCGATTTGGTCTTATAAACTATTCATATTAAGTAAGTATAAGCAATAAGAAACACATTATATAAACAATGACTTTCTCAAGTTATTGTAATCCTAATAAATATCATGTGGTGATATAAATCATGTTAAAGATTTCCTATGTCAAAGAAAATACTCTACAAGCATCTTATAAGTATAATACTTTGTCTAGAAGCTTAATAATTCACAAGAAGTTTTTGTATGGCCTTCTTATTAACTAATAAATATAGAAGTAAGACTAGGGACATCTTTAGTCTTTTGAATGCCTTTCTTATATTCTAGTCTTTATTAAAACTTACTAATTTCTTTTTATTTGGTAATAGTCATTATAATTTTTTTTTATGTCTTATAATTATATATATTTTTTTTTTATATCTTTCTTTTAAATAATACATAAATATATTAAATATCAACCAATTTGTCTAAAATCAATATATACAATATTAGAATTTAATCTTAATAAAAATTAGAATATATTTATTTTCTAAAAATATCAAAGTATTTTAGAATTATAGACCATCTAATATATTTTTAACTTGTGAGATACATGTCTAACTTGCAAGACAAGTTTCCTACATATGCAACAAATGGCCATTTTGTTGGCTAAGTTTCTAATCTATTAATCAACTACAAATATGTATAAAGTCAAATCTGCATGTATAAAGCTTCTAAGAAGCTTTTCCATAAGATATTATCAAATCCATCTACATTTATCCTCTATCCAACACTTCTTATTAAAGTAATTATGTATATCTATGATAAATTGTATTCCTTTACAAAGCTAATTATATATGTCTATGATAAAAATTAAAAAATCATAAATTTCATGGTTTCTAATTTTTTTTCATAAAGGTCAAAATACTTTTTTTTTTTTTATAAAGTTTTTATTGAATATCAAAAATATTATGATGACAAAAATCTAAACTAATACATGAAGAAATCACAAATGGCCAACTTTTAATTTTTAAAGATGTTACTTATAATATTTATATAACTTGTGAAATTTTATTAATTATATGTTATCATTTAAATATTTTATTTAAATAAATAATATGTATATATATATATTAATAATTTAACTAATTATAATTATTACTATACAATTAATTAAAAAAAATCTTAACCACTGTTTGTAACTTATTACAAAATAATTAAACGTCCTTAAGAAATATTATGAAGAAAGCTTTTAAGTTATTTTAGCAAATACTCAAAATTTCTTATATGTGCACCAATTATGCTTTTGAAGAAAAAAAATGGATTCTTCTAAATATATGTGGATTATTATACAGTTAATAAAACTAACCAAAAAATATTTTATTCTTAACTTTGAGATCAAGACTTCTTAAACAAATAAATTATAATAACTATTAAAACAAAAATCTTTTATCAAAGTTTTTTTCCATAAATCTCATAGTCTTTAGAAAGTTTAAACATGGTATTTTTCTAAGCTATTACATATGGAAGGAAAATCAAGGCTATTATTAGTATTATAAATTTCTTTTTTTGTGATTCAATACTCTTTTAAGACTTTCTATTTTCTTTACATTTGGTATTAATTTTTTTTTATCTTCTGATTATTTATCTTCATTGATTTTTTTTTCTTCTTTCTTAATGATACATGAAAATTATTATATATTGATTCGTTTTTTCAAAATTCATGTCATTAATGTAATTTAAAAAATTTAAGAATCTTAAAAAACTATTTATTACATTTTTGATGAATTTTTTTATTATTTTATTAATTGACACTAAATAACTTAATAACTTTTATTATTTTTTTTTAATTCAAAATTTTTTTTAATATAAAATTTTATTCACAATAAAAAATTATAAATTTCTACAAAACCATAAAAACTTTTTACACAAGAATAAAATCAATTTCATTTTCTACTTCAGAATATGATTATCATGTTTAAATACCATTTAATATTTTATTTGAGTTTTTTTTTAAAAAAACGTCTAGTCTTAAATAACCTTAATTTTGAATCCTAATCACTCTTAGTTATAGTTATAAATACATGTACAAAAAATAAAACTTAAAATTTGTGGTATTAATGTAATCACCAAAATATCCAAATTATATATATATATATATATATATATATATATACGTATATATCTTAAGTCATTATACCTACATAGATATTAGAATAAGAACAAAGTCAAGAATTATTATTTTTAAATTATTTATTTATTTGAATTTTATTATTAATAATTTCTTATAAGTTATATATATATATATATATATATATATATATATCTACATACATACATAGTTAATTTTTTTTATTAAAAAAAAAAAAAAAAAAAAAAAACTAATGTGGTTTTATTTTATTTTGTTTTTTTTTAAATAAATTATACCACAGTTATTATTAATCTTATTTAATATTTTTTTTAAATTTAGCTCTTACTAGTAGATCTAGTAGTATTTATTTCATCTTTATTGCTTTGGTTGAATTATATCTAGAATAAGACCAATAGACAAAAACATTGGCAAGGTTTTAATCTTCTGTAGCAATGCATTGAAACTGCCCATAACAACCTTGTGTACTTACCATTGCTTCCAAAAACTTTGTTGAAAGTAGTCTGCCTATTTTAAGGCTAGTGGACTCTTTCTACTTTGATTGTATGTTGTCTATATGTAGTGCTTTCTTTCTTTTCTAGTTTGTGTGTTGTACTTCTTTCATTATACACTCTTCATGCATTACTTTTGTTTGTATATAGAATAATTTAATGCACAACAATAACTCTTCTTGTGCTCTCACATCACAACATAGTTTTAACTACTGCTCTTATATTGATTAGTTTTGCTTACTTGTTAATCACAAATGAACTTGTTATTGTAAATATTTTGTTCTAGATTATAGACAATTATTAATTAAAAAAAAAAAATACACCTTGTATCTACTTTTGACAATACATATCTAGAGTAGAAATGTGTATCAAATAAAAATATTATTTGAATCTATTTTTAACAATGCACAAACCTACGCAAGCCCCTATGTCTACATTTTAACCAAATGGTTGTAAGACTAGATTCATTTTGTAGGATTAAGCATCTAATCTAAAATCCCTTCCACAATGCAAAATCCTATACAAGGTTGTATATTCTTATTTTATTTATCTTTTAATATATATATATATATATATATATATAGTTGTGATTAAAGTTTATTTTATTTTATTTTATTTTATAGATAGTCATATTTATTTTAACATAGATGTTTTAAATAATTTGATCATATATTTATGTCTTAAATTTTGTGATCTTATATTTATTTCTTTTAAGAACTATATTCTTTATGAGCTATAAATATTAAAGAAAAATTAAAGATAACTATACATTTTAGGATTGATAAGAAAACAAATTTCTCAAGAATTCACCTAATTTAGGTGTTTTTAAGATTGTAAAGAAATTTATATAATTTACATGAAGGAAAAATTATATACATATACTTTCAAAGAAAAATATCCATAAAAGAATGTAACATCAATATCCAATAATGATCTTTCAATAAAAATTTGAGATTTAATGTTATTTAATTTTTTATTAATATAAAATCAATAAAAATACTATTTAAAAATTAAATAAAATTTAAAACCAGATATTTTATTTTTTGAAAATTTAATTCTATTTATATCATACAAAGTATAATTTTAGAGTCAAATCTAAATTGTTTGTTTTACAGAAACAATAGTAAAAGTTTTTAATCTTACAATTTTTTGTGGTAATTAAATTCAGCCTAATTAATTATAACATATATTCCCATTTTATTATTTTGAAAATGAATTGCAAAGATATCTATTGTTTTTGGGATTAGGGTTAATCCAAATAGCTTCCAGGGCAGAACTGGGTTTCTGATGCCCGGCCATGCCTTGGCGGGCCTGGGTGGGTCTGCCCGGGCAGGAGCACAGTTCTGACCGAGAAACTGTTCGGGCAGGTTACGTTTCTCTCAGCAGAAGCCCCTTTTTTTTTTCGGGCAGACGTCGGATGGTTTCCATCACCCCTAAGCGGATGAAGTATGTTTCATCCATGGCGCGGTGCTGCTGGAAGATCCACTGTGGCCGCATCTTCTCGGTGTCTGCACAAGGTCTTCGACTGGAATGTTAGTTATTACACCGATTCTGCCGACGTGCATTCTAGATGCAGCGGGACCCGATGTTCAAGCTGGTGAATGCATTCTTCTCATCAGCAGTCGATGCTCCTGATGACGAGGCCTCTCCGCAGGAACAGTATTCACGGTGATGTATTCATCATTGACACTGGACTTGGCTTTTTAGTTGTCCATGCGTGATATTTTGGACCAGCGTAATGCCGAACACTTGGGAAGAGTGGTTGCTCACAGGAAGTGTTCCAGGTCTGCGGCAGGCGAATTTGCGCGACCTTTTCCATTCAGTGTGTGATTCGTCAGTGTGGGTCCAGGGTTGTTGAAATGTTGAAGGAATGACCTCTAAAAGTGTTAGTTACCCTGAATTTAGGTAGTCTTTGATCTACGGCAGAGTTTGGGGCCAAAAATTTATGCTTCATGGACAGCCCACCTCACGGTTGGAATGAAGGGGGTTCTGAAGCAACGAAAGGTCAAAGGAGACATCCAAGCAAGATATTTGGGGTATGAGCCACTTTGCGGGCAGTGTAATCTTATTTCGATTGGAAAGGTCACTGGTGCTAAAACAGTCATTTCGTCTTCTGCATCAATTAATCTGTTCTGGCATATAATTACCATTCTATTTTTGCAGAATTTAAACTTCCTTCACTGTCACAGTGCACGTCAGGCTCGCAATCTGGGCATCTATACAATGTTGCATATTGGATCAGGAAGGGTTGTTTAGTTGGACGTCCTCGCTGAAACTTCAGATGAGATCAACAGCTAAGTCACCTATTTAAAGGTGCAGAATTTTTCAGTTCGGGACTTGTGCGACGATATTCACCGCTGCTTCGTGATCTGAGACGAATTCCAGTTGATCAAAAAGAGCCATAAACTTTGAATCTGGATCGCGTATTGTAACAACGGGCATGAACTTAGGAATCATTCAGTCTCCAAAAGTCATCTCTAGCCACACTGGCACTCATCAACGATTTCCAAGAACACAGGCAAAAGCAATCAGTCTGCAAGAAACCGCAATTGACTGAGGTCAAGACGCTAAGACTTGACCACAACCTCAAAGCTCCTGGCGACAAATTCTGAAGTCCAGAAGAAATTACCTGATTCCTCAGGGGCAAATGTAATGGTTGTAGCCTCATGGAATCATCTGTCAACGTTCACACGACAAAGCTTGAGAAATAAACTGACAAGGGCCCATATCGAATGAAGAAAACTGGCACTCACTTCGACCTGAAAGCTTCCTGGCAACTGCACCTGTCGGCAAAACCAACAGCACCTTCCTTCAGAAGCAACACCCAGTCACGCCCACAGAGCCGTCTTCTTCATGTTAACGCCTCGGAAAGGCCTTGGTCTACCTCATGACAGTGACAACAATCAAAGACAAATTCATCATCATAGAATTCCAGTACATTGTCGCCAAAACTTAAGCTCCCGTACTGAAGTTCAAGTCAACACGTCGACACGATTTGCAGCTTTCATTGACCCATCCGTCCGACAGACCTGGAAATTTTCTCATCTGTCCCCATTTGGGATTACGTAAAATTCACATTGCTGAAGACCTTCTAAAGCCTGAATCTTCCGCCACCAAAGCTCCAGCGTGTTCTCATTGAACACTAGCGGGACATTACTGGTGGTGGGGAGCCAGGTGCTAGCGAAGCATCTAAAATGCAGACAGAGATCAGGTGATGCCCAGCCAGAGCCGGCACCATCTACTTTCATTGTGAGCGGTACGTACCCTTGAGCGAGAATCTAGATCCTCTACACAATGATGCATGAACACAAGTTTCTGCTGCAATAAGTGAAAGAGGTCGCCTCATCGACACCGCCAGCTGCAAGTTGTTGTGCCATGAGGTGCAGCATTTGCCTTCCACTGTGAGCATGGGATGGATCTGATGGGCCCCTCGCCGCCTCTTCTCCAGAGATCTGTCATTCCATGCAAATTTGTCCGCCACCGCCAATCAAAGGAGCGGAAGCACTAGTCGATCTGCCACCTGCGCATAAGATTGTTTAGCAACATTCCCCAGAGGATGAGTTTCCTGGATACCAGCTTCATTGTTGGTTTTAATTTGTTGTTTCCTCTTTTTTGATGAGTACAGTCGGAACACCACTTTAAAATTGAAGCTTTTGAGGGTGGCATATAACATATAATAGGATGTTCAAAGATGGGAATGAATAGGGATAAAACAATTTCAGAATATATGTGTTGTTTTGTTTTGTTTTTTATTTTTGTTTAAATTATTTTGGTTTAAGCAATCGGTAAGTGCAGGGATTTCAAATATATGAATATAGAAAAGATCATAAACAGAAAATATACACATGTACAATTAAGAAAAAAGCATGGAAAGATGTACATTAAAAAGTAAAATGAAATTAAAATAGCTATTAAAAAATGAAAAATAACTAGAGAGCTTAAAGTTAGAATTGAAATAATAAAAAAATTAATTGACAAGATTAAAAATGGATTTAATCATGTCTAAATATGTACTATTAATAAGAAAGATATATGAATACTTTCTAAGAATTATAATTTTTACAAGCTAAGAATCCAACTTGCTTAACATTTTGATGATAGTTTTAAAAAAATAAATTTTTTTTAAAAAAATTACTATAGCCACATGGCATATCTATAGACCTAATTCACATCTAAAACTTTCTTCAATATATTCCTGAAAAAGATGCTATTTATTTTGAATGTTTTTATCAACTCTTATTTTACTTATTTACATATTATAATTTTTTTATAATTGAAGATAGTTGGTAAAAAATATAATTTTTTATTTTTTCTAACTTCAATAGTTTCTTATTGATGATCTTTTAAACAGTAAAAAATTAAAAATCTAAAAATCAACAATATTTAAATATAAAAATAAATATTTTTAAAATAAATAAATAAATTTTATGGTTTTATTTATAGAATTTTAAAAATATTAATATCCCTTATTAATATCTTTTTTGACAATATTATTAGTATTTATAATATAAATATTAAATAATTTAATTATAAATTTTCTTTTTATATATTAATACTATTAAAAAATATTGTCTTTTTTAATGTAATTATAGTGATTTTATTTTTAAATAAAATATATCATAATATTATGTAAATAGATTATTTATTTTTTTTATAAAAAATATTTTATTTGACTTTTATCTTATTTTTTTAAAATAAATATTTTTTATTTTTTATGGATTTTGTCTAAAGTCATTAGAGAGGTCTAGATAGAAGCCTAATTTTTCTTCAAAAATATCTTTTTCTTTAAAACCAAAATAAAAATATGCCATTTGTTTGTACAAAGAGAAGGAATCCACTCTTACACAACATGGCTTTGATAATACACAAAATTATTGTATGTTAAGATATTCTTTCTATTATTTTACTTTCTACAATTTTTGATACTACTCTTACTTCTATTTGTCAATTTTTTCTTTAATAGTTATTTTTATCTCTAAAATCTCAAATAAGCTTCAAATTTTAAATACAAAATTTAAGTTATAAAAAATAGGATTTAGTATCTATATAATATATATAGAAACCTCCAAATTCTATAGTTTTTTAAAAAAAATTTCTTTAAATTCTTTATTTTTTAATTTTTTAGCATTAATTTAAAAATAAACTTGATTTAATGAAAGTGCTTAATAAATAACCAATCTAAAAACTTCCATTCAGAATGTTTTTTTTGAAGTAATATATTAAATATTTTTGGTTTATAATATTTTAAAAAATATATAGATAATTTGTAATGATATAAAAATATATAAAAATGATATTTTATTAATACCATATTAAAAATAGTTAATTTTTTTTAAAAATAATATTTATTCTTAAATTTATTGATTTCTTATGTGATTAAATCAATGACCTCATTGGAATGTTCCTTCTATATATCCATGTCACCTCATCAAGTTCCATAGTACCTTGCTATTTTGCAACCTTGTCACATTACAAACTTGCTCATTTCTTACTTGTCTTCTCTTTATTTGAAATAGAGAGAACTCTCATCTTCTTTATTAAGAAGAGTTTTTTAGAGGAATTACTTGTAATTCTCTCCAAGGCAAGTTAATAACTAGTACATATAGGAGGTTGCAAGGAATATTGAGTAGGTATAGTGCAAGTGTGGTATTAGTGTGGAGAGTCTAATGGGAGCAATTGTAAGAACTCCAATGAGGTTATTGATTTGATTATGGTGGTACCAAAATATCCAAGGAGATAACAAACACATTTGTGCTTGAAAATAAATATGAAAAGTAATTAATTAAATTTAATGGTTTTATTTAAGATATATGATTTTTATTTTTTAAAATTAATTTTTTTTGAAAAAATTATAACATGAGTTTATCAAAAAATTAAACATCACAAACTATTATAAATTAAAAAAAAGATAGATATTCTAAATTATTTTTTATCTAAAATAATTTGGTTTGTTCTTTAAAACAATAGAACTTCATTGAAAAAATTAATGCAAGAAATATAAAAAAAAAATCTTATATTTTTAATTTTTATAAATAAAATTATATTTTTTGAAGATATGTCTTATTTTTTTTTCAATAAGAATTTTTTTTGAAACTAATATTTTAATGTTTTATATTAAATAATTAGTTAATATTTTTGAAACCTGTTTATTAAAAATAAAAATAAAAAAGGTTTCAAAAAATTTAAATCATATAAAAAATTGAAATACAAATTCATTTTCTAAACATTTTTTTTTTTTTTTTTTTTTTTCCCCATCATCAAATAGTGCATTCTTTAACTAATAGTTTAATGTTGTATAATGTGAGAAAAAAATCTTTCAATTTATATTTTAAAATCAAATTTATGTATATATATATATATATATATATATATACACAAAGATATAAGATCCAACTCTACTTTTGTGTGACATGATTTTGGTAGATAAAATTAAAGTTTAGAGAAAAATAAAAGCAAAAATGTGCTATTATATCACACATATTATTGGCATGATCATTTCATTTTAGTTTATGTAGCCCAAAAAAAATTTGAAAAATTCAAGATAATATTTTTAGCTGATATGTGAAAGTGACACATAAAATGTAAATGAATTTCTCTACATATATACACACATACACATAAAAGCATGATAGGTACCCACCAATTTACATCATAGTGGGATAATTACATGTCAGTAAAAACCAACATGACCCACATGTTAAAATTTCAATTCCATTTATTCGATGAATAGTAACAAAAATACTTGTTTCTATGGTGGATGTCATGGGCACTCTGCAGGATGGGGCGAGGCCACTCAAGGACAGTTCTATTACGGAACATGCCTTCCGGAGCAAAGACGGAAAATTCATCCAACGGAATGGAAGAATCATCCCCCTTCACATCCACATCCACATCCATGGGAGTTTCATCCATCCCTGCATGATGCTCTCTCGAAGCTCCGATGCTCTGGTCACGTAGAACCTGCTGCTCATGATCGAAGTCACAGCAACGTTGCTCGGCAGCGAAGCTACAGTAGAAACCGTCTGTTGGTTAGTGAGGCATAGCGATCGAAGTGAGAGGTTGGAAATTCCATTTTGGCAAACCGTGTTCGGCAGTTCACGATCCGTTCAAACTTTGCAGTGCCGTGCCGGACTGCGGGCAGGGAATGTACAAGTCGTCGGTCTGCAGGGAATCTGCGCAGGAACGGTGGCGGTGCTTGAGATGGATGGGAGATATTGAAGAGCATACGGAAGGGAGGCAGGAGGCGAGGGGATTGGAGCCAACAAGATGGAGGCCAGATAGAGTCCGTGTGTGAGGAGATTTCCGACCGACCGGCCAGGAGTAGAGCAGGTTAAGGTACCTACCCATAGGCTACGGGAGGAGTCGTAGGTTTTAAGGTAGGTTTGCACTGCTTCAAAGGCACGGAAGCAGGCAGGCAGGAAGTGGTTCCAATGTTTTTCGACACTCCACTAAAGCCGCTGAGTTTCATGACTAACGAGTGACTTTAAACCGGAGAACTGGCCCGGCCCGGCCCCACGCTCATCACTCCCTTCGTCTTCAGTCTTAGCCTCGCTTTGCCGTCCCCATTGCAAGCCTTGGATGTTCTCCGCCATGCCTCGGGATGGCTGCACTTTGCATTCCTGGGGGAATGGGAATGGGGATGGGGAGTGAGAGGAACCATCACGAAGATCCTCTTCGACTTTTGAGTGGCGCTGGACTATGCGATTCATCAAGTGTGTGGAGAGGGTGATCGTCAAGGGGGGCGGAGTGTAGGAGTATATAGCCTCAGGGTAAGAGTAGAAGTGGAGAGATGTTTCCTTTTTGCTGCGAGAGTACTAGCTGCGGTTGCAAGGGTCGATAGGGAACGGGCGGCAACGCTGCGCGTGCAGTTTTGAGGAAGATCTCATGAGAGTGTGAGTGAAGGAGAGACACGGGATGAACGGCGGCCTAACGTTGGTTTTCGATGTGAAAGAGGACGTAGCTGGGTGTAGTGGTTGGTTGAAGTTTGAATTTGGGCAAGTGCGGTCGTCGAGTTGGTTTTGACGTGGTAGACACGTCGTTTCAGGACCGGAAAGCTCTTCTCAGGTAGACATTGTTTTTAATTTCTATATATTTTTTGTTTATTGCTATTGTTCTTCTTCTTCTATTGTTTTATTTTTGGTTTTTGGTTTTTTTGTTTTAACTTGTTGCAAGCTTGAGTGAGTGGGTCATTCATGAGTAATAGTTGGCGCTAGCGCTCTTGTCACAGCGATGAATAATTTGAATTCTGTAAGAGGATTTTTGTTCTCAAGAAAGAATTCCTGTGAGCGGTTTGTACTCCAGCTCTAAAAGTTGTCCTCAATTTGTTCCGTCCATGCTTATGATGGGATCAGTGGAGTGACCTCTGGAGTACCACTTATGAAGACCTGTGAATTTCCCAACTTCGGTCAACGTCTATAGAAGATGCTTTTTAAGCAAAGCTGTTTCAAGAGAGCTACACTCGAAAGTCATGGTTTGTTATTTGTAAAAAGTGCGGTGGGATAATCGTCCATATAACCTGCAGGAGTTTGTACTTAACTTTCATACTAAACTTGTATACCAAGTTAAATGAGGCAAAGTTAAATAGCGTTTTTGTGTGTAAGATGAGCCAGCATGCCGTTGTTGAGGACAACTATTAGAGCTGGAGTACAAACTGCAAACCATGTGACGGGCCTTGTTTTCTCAGTTGATGAGGTTAGACGAGCAAGATTGCTCTTTACGGTTGTAAGAGCCGACCTTTTAAAATGATTCTTCTGAAGAGGTCACAATGGCTTTTTGTCTTGTGGATAAGAACCGACGTGCAACGACGGAATCAATGAAACGAATCCACAACAGCAACGCAGAGCCGATAGACTCGAAACACAAATTTGTCCCTTATATCACCCTAGAACGAGGTTATGGGGTTCGCGTTAGGCTCCAAAGCGCAATGCCGAACCTCAGAAACTGTCGGACTGTATGTATCTGCCTAAGTCCGCTCAAATCTAGCTCGTTCAAAGGTTGGAGCGATGGTACAAATGCGCAGCAGTAATGCATCCGGTCCTCGGAAGAAGTTTGGTAGTGAAGCGCGCTTATATGTTCTTTACTCAATCTAAGTGGGAGGAAGGAAGAAAGCTCAGAAGCAGAAACCTGGTACCTCTGAGCTGAAGGTTTTGGTCGAAAGGACTAGAGTTATCCTGTAGATTTTGAGAATATCAGAGGTTGATGGGCCGCAGAAGAACGATTACTTTGTGTAAAATCACCATGAAGACCTAGTTTACCCATGATGACAGAGGCAGAACTGTAACACTAGTGTGACTGCTTGGAGAGGTGTGTATGATTTTCTCGGCCACATTTTTCATTGAGTCACTGCAGCACTAACTGCACAGTTAAGTATTCTCATAAAATGACGTTGGTTGGACTCTCTTGGTTGAGCCAGTTTGAGAGTTTACCCTAGAATTTGAGGAGAAACTTTGCTGGTATGCGAGTCTGGAGAGAAGGCACGCTTAGCCTTCATTTTAACCGTAGTTCTTCTATTTACTCATGGTGCTCGGCAAGGTTGGGCATAACATGCGACTATTCAATTTCACATGCCGGCTGAATTTGTTTCCCATCCTGTGCATACTATTCTCAGATGATTGATGTCATCGGAAGGTCTAGATCGCTAAGTTCCCCCCAACACCGATGTAATTCTACAGATTGCTTTTCATATTTTAGTGCCTCTTTTAGTGCATGGTGTGCAGGAACACATCAAGGCAACAACAGGAACATCTACTGTTGGTGGTATGAACGAAGGAAATGCAGTTGAAATATCGAAGTGGTTTATGTAGGACGCTAACGACTATGGTAGCAAGGAAACCTACTTGGGAAAAGACGGCCTCTCTACGTTGTGATACTCTCTTCGAAGGAGTTCCTTCAAAGAGGGTGCAGAGCTTGATATATGACGAATCAAATTAGTGTTAGCCGGACAGTCGAGCGTGCATGATAAAGTCGCCGATTTCTCCGAAGGGAACAGGACCTTGCTTCTCTCAATGCAATAGCCCAGTTCAAAACAGTGGAAGGGAGAAATATTTTCAGATTTGTATGAAACTTCAATTTTAACAGAAGCTGAAAATACGTTAGCTCGATCGGCAGCTCATCATTCATCAAATCGAAGGGGCGATGCAGGAGATAATTGCTCAAGTTACGGCCTGTGGTGAGCTTCGGAACTGTGACCAGGGAAGGGGACGTGTAAGTTGCTACATATATAAGAACACCAGCATTTTTGATAGAGGACCAAGAGTCCATGAAGTCGGAGAATAAACTCTTATTGTCTCATACCCCCATTACCTGATAGCGAAACTGCACATTTTTATCAGAGAGTTAGTAGGTTAGATTGCTTTTCAACTTCCTTATATACTTTTGCTCACTCACTTAAGCGTTTATTTGGCACCTGTAGCTGTTGTTTTCACCACTACCCCTTCGGTTAGCCCAAGCTGAAGTACACGCGAAGTCATTATAAGGGGTTTATTTTTATTGGTGAAACCTATGTGGTGGCAATTGTGAATGATTCTGTTCAGGTATGTACCTCAGGTTCTCAAGTATCTTAACTCATGCTTTTCAATAGTAACGTGCCTACTGCAGTTGTAATTCTCTACGTCCATAATCTTCAAAAGTCTTCAGAGCGAGGGAAGGTGTAGAATGAAACGGTTTGGTCATGCATTAGAAGTCTCTGAGTCTTTCTTTCTGCATTCTCTCAACAAAAAAGTGCAGTAGTCTAGGAATGATAATTTGTCGTCTTAATACAACAATGACTTTAGACTTGGGTAACAACAGTACGATTTCCAACTTAAACTAAACAAAAAAACCGAGTTCGTCACTGCAGCATGTCGAAAAAGTAGTTTTGATACAGAGAGAATAGGTAACTTTTTCCATTTTGAGACTTATGAGATAATTCGTCGAACTCAAATGACCTGTTTGTAAACACGTAGGAGAAGATTCTAAATACAACTTTGGTAAATTACGACTCAAACCAGTCAAATTTTCTTCGTTTAGGATGATGCCCAGACTTTCTTACAAAAACCACATATTCTGCATCAGAGATTAGCGAGTGTGTTTGTCATATGATAAAAATTGACCTCGATCTTATTCTTCCTGTGTCGTTATCGTCATCTTTCGGCTATTTGTGTGTAAAGATATTAATTTTCCCGAACTATAGTAACCTAGAATTGAATAAGGGAAGAGTGTATTTCTTGAAGTTGCAGAATGAGGAAAATATTATCCATTTGTAAGTACGTCCACTACAGTCACCCCTGTCGATTGCAGTTCTAAAAGGAGTTTTGAAATTCCATTATTTACTTGCCTCTTTAGTGTTGTTTTTCAGGATTGCTATCGGATTCTTTATGGTGAAAGTCCTCTGTGGAGCACGAAACACCAGCATGAACTGTACACTCTTCTCCTCTGGAAGAGAAAAACTATTCCATGATTCAAGGCAATATGCAATTTTCCTTTGATGTATACGAGCCCTTTCTGGTGGCTAATGTACCTTTCCCACCACATTTTATTATTTTTCTGTCACCTTCAGATTCCCAATACTGATGAGACGTGGTAAATAATACACGGAACTGATATTGGAGAAGTAAAATGATTTTCAGAATTTCATGATTCGACAAACGAGAGAAAACATTTCGGGTAACGAAGAATCCAACCCCGTCATTCTTCTACACTTATCGTTTCAAAGCGACGTGTGTTCAGTAGATGAAATAATTTTGCTTCGTCCTGTTTTATGGATTTGAGACCTCTCTCTGTTACACTCCGAGGAATCTGCAGCTGAATCGGCTCAATATTTCTCTATCAAAAAGAACCCTTTGAATGATGTCTGAAACGATCTGAAGATCCATTTCAAGAGCTAAGAATCCAGGAATCAGCATTTCAACTTGAATCCTGAAGTGCCTCCAATGTGAATACTTTTAGTGATGCAGACTCAAGGTCGATTGAAAATTTACGCTTTCATCAAGTGTCAACTGCACAGCGGGTGCTTCCTCGCAGCTCTCACCTCATTTTTCTCGCATTTGTGAGATGCTTCTATGACTACAAGACTGTTGATAGTTGGCTATTTTTAACGCCTATGTACTTTTGGTGTGTATTTATGTTTCTTAAAATTACTTGCGTATTGCTTCTAGGCTGATACACAAGCAATTGTACTCCTATTTAGATCTGCTTTAGAGCCCTGCGGTACTTCAAACTTGGCGTGTTCTCTCTCCTTTGTCACTCAACTTGTCACTAGGCGAAAGTTTCATTGACAGCGTTACTACAAACACCATCTTATTTTGTTTGTGTGATGATCCCTTCTGCTGGTAACAACGAGCAGCAAGGTGATCCTAACTGGGCAACAGAAAATTGGGACCACTCAGGTGCAGTTGGTGGCCTAGATCAGGCCTCCCGTCAGTATTCAGGTGCCAACGGGTCGGAGTGGGAGTGGGATCCAATGATTCTCGCTCAGCATCATGGTAGTGGAGGCTCCATTGACGGCAGTGACGGAGACCACAAACACAAGATTTCTGTAGGTGAGAGCTCATTTGAACAGCCCTTCAATAAGTCAGAACTTGACATGGTGATAACATGCTTCAACACCCAATCATATTCTCTGAAGAGCTGAGCCAGAATTGATTTTTGTAATTGTCACTTACACCTAGGAATAGGAGTGCCTGTGGTCTTAAACCTTGTTTTATCTTTATTTAGATAGTTCTGACGAAGGTTCTTTGCTTGCATTACTACCCCTGTGCATTCTATGGTACAATTCAGTGAATCAGAAGGGTCAGGTTTCTGAAAATTTGACGTATATAGCTATAACAGATGAAAATTGTTGATATTGACAAGAATACAATTGGTATTTTCCTGGATAAAGGAACAATGTCAAGCCTCCAGGCACCGCGCGATATGCCGTCAGCAGGTGTCCCATCCAACTTTGCCCATAGTCCCATGTGTATCTTCAGCTCCGCAGGTATCCAAAACCTGGGATTTCTGGACGGATCTGGTCAACCTCCGATAACTGCAAACCTTCACAGTACACTTGAATCATCAGGTAAACCAGGCCTTGCAGCTACAAATGGTACAAGCCTCCATAGCGACATTCGAAGTTATGATCAACGGCGTTGCGAATTTTCCGCCGCCAGCATGCATGACCATCACATCAAAAGGGAGAAGGTACGTTTCATGATATTTTTTTCTATTCTTGATTTAAGTATTATGCAATGGACTATATGTTGTGAATAATAATTTTATTGAGTATGCTCTTGTGTCTTACAAAAGTGCGTGACGGTCATTCACAGATTGTTCTTAACCTTGGGGTTCGGACGTACTTCTCGAACCAGGATGCAGCTGTCGGTCGACTTTCTAAGAGACATCGTGTAGGCTCACCCGGTTCCCAACTTCCAACTTGTCAAGCAGAGGGTTGCAAAGCTGATTTGAACGTTACCAAGAACTATTATCGTCGCCATAAGGTGTGTGAGTTCCACTCTAAAACACCGATCGTGATAGTTGGTGGGCATACGCAGCGGTTTTGTCAGCAATGCAGCAGGTATGACACTTTCCCAGAGGGATTTGGAAACTTACTCTCAATTCTCATGTCTGCCAAGAATCAGAAAACCAACCTTCAAAGTCTTTTATTATTTCAATTTTTTAGTATAATTCAGTAGTTTGTTGAACAGATTCCATCGTTTAGGCGAATTCGACGATGGAAAAAGAAGCTGCAGAAAACGTTTGGCTGACCATAACAGACGTCGTCGAAAGGCACAACCAAACGCTCCCACTTCTGGAGGAATCTCAGCTGAATCGACTAGTGCCATCAAAGTTGGCGATGACGGAGAGCTCCATACAAGTTTTAGCCGTCTAAACGGTAATCCAATCGGTTGTTCGTTTGAATTTGCAGTATCAGAATTAAAAGAAAAGGTTTCGTTTTCTAGAGAAGTATTATATTTCACAAGATGATGCAGTGCTTTCACCAAGGTTGGCTTCATTCTACCTCCTATATCTAATGCACACTCAGTTAACTTTTAACTCATTCCATTAGTGCAACGCCCACATTCACTGGGCGAAGGATGTGCCCCAGTTGAAAGCGCATGTTTGTATCGACGTAGATGATACACCCTGTTAAAACTTCAGCCATAAAGCTTGTATTCAGTCAAGCGCATATGTCATCCATCTCTGCCTTAACCAAAGCCACCATTGTCACCGAATCATTTGCTCTAATACTTGAGGTGGGCGGTGCAGATCCAAAATCGATGCTCGACATGTACTTGGAGAAGAAGTGTGGATGCCCTAGCTTCCTTACCTTGGAAGACACAAATGAGAAGCTTGACTCTGCAGGCTATAAACTAAAATTGCGAACATCTGATCTTGACTTTTGCCGTAGTCCACGAGATGATCATCGATCGTCTTATCCGGGAATGTCTATGAACTCTCAGCTCATGACCTGTTCTGAAGCCCAGGCCTCGTTGTCTGCCTTGTCTTTTTCACTACCCGGCCCATTTCCGGAGCATAAACCACAGCGACAGCTTACAATGTTGGCAGTGACAGAAGAGTATGATCGCGGGAATTCAGTATATCAGCATCATATGCAGGTAATCGAGGCGAGGGTCAGATTTTATTTGTACTGATAAGCTTGCTACGCTGCATAAGACAGTAGTATATTCAATCCGTTACTTGTCACAAATCAAATGCACATTGTTTGCAGGGAGTGGGTGGTAGTCAAAGTGGACCAAACCTGTCACTTTCTTCTCCACGAGATCAGCAGGGACTTCAAGGTAGAGGTCGAAGGCGGCCAATGTCAGGTCAAAGCTGCAATGGAACGGAGCACCCAGTTCATTGGTTAAGACCTATCAACGCAAACTCAGATAACATGACTCAAGTAGTTAGCAGACAAGGTGCGATGAGGATGCAAGCCCTTTTGCCCACGGAAACGAAATCTGGGATTACTTCAGCGTCAGCAAATTCATCAAACTCTCAGGTGATGGAACAATGTACATCATTATAGATCTGTGTCTCTGTCATGAATATTAGTTCTAAGCCCTTCCAAGATTCATCCGTTACTACTAATAGATACATATATTGACCGGCAATGTTATGCTGTACTACACTATCATTCAGGAGCATGATGTCGAAGCATTCTCGCCGATAAACCAGAATCTTCTACCCCAAGGATCAAGTGATTTATCCAGCCCTGACTGGATGTCAGTTAGTATGAGAGAAGCTCAGACATCACGTAGTGATTTTAGTCGATTTGGGCCGTCGACGCCCATGAGCAATTTACTGGGAAGTGACCAGCTTCAAGCTGTCGATCAAATGCTTGACCTTATTGGTACTTCGAACCAGGCCGATGCGAACCCTGGTAACGATGGATGTAGCCAGAATGTACTTGCCAGGAATGCACAGATGGAGTATCTGCAACAGAAAGACACAGGAACGGATTCAGGAGGAGATGACAGCAGTTGGGGTGGCAGTTGCACTGTGGATAGTCCTGATTTGAAGTATTCTGACCTCCAGCCCCTGCGGCCAGGTTCTTACGGAACACCTACCTATGACTCACACCAGGATCTCTTTTGAGACAGAAATGCAGCCCCTAGATATATCTATACATAGATATAGACATCAGTGGTGCGTTTTTTCCTCCCCCTACACCTCCTTTACATAAACGAAGTGCTCTGAAGTTCACGGGAGCACCAAATAATGCAAGAGTTTTACTTTGAGAAATTTTGGGAGGAGTTCCTAAGCCATTTCTTCTCAGAACTGTCAACTTTTGCAAGGTACTTGCATGCAGGCAATACATCTTTTCCATCTAAGTTGCTAACACTAAAATTAGTTAAATTTCTTCACTCGCTGATCTTATGAATCCTTGAATATATTACTTAGAGAATACCTACTTTCATTACCTTGATTGGACTCCAACTGTCGTAGTTTGCTTAATGGTCTCATAACTCTACCTGTAACTAAATTCTTTGGCTCAAAAAATCCAAGATTGAGATAAGTTGTGATGTGTAAAAATGATCATGGAGAAAAATAATCAAATCACATTCTAATTGTGAAATACTAGAATTCGTGGTGAAATACTAATGCTAAAAAAGGAATGCACAATGAATGGTACACTTTGTATAGAATTTTCATCTGGTGCATGTTTTAAGAATGTTTTCTTTCTATGATGTGGTTTTCTTTTCCTTCCAAACACATACTCACAGATGTATATGGGTTTGTATGTGTTTGCATATATATATATATATATAGAGAGAGAGAGAGAGAGATACTTGTTTGTCTCTAACATATACATAATAATGAAATTGATTTGTAATCATATTTTATAAAAACTACTTCCAGACATTGATTGCCAATATTCAGATATGCTTCAAATCCTGAAAAGTCTCAAATCAGGAATCAAATGTTAGTTTTTCAACTAACATTTGAAAAACTAACATTTTCAAACATAATGATGGTTTTAAATAGATTTTTTGAAAAAAAGAATATCATTAAAGTAAAAAATTCAATCTTAAAATAAGTATGTAATAAAGAATAAGTATATATATATATATATATATATATAGATATGTACTTATTGTAATAAAATTAATACAAATATTTTTAGGAGATATGATTAAATTTCTTTAAAATTAAAAGCATATTTTTTTAATTTAAAATTTAAAAATATAAATATAAAATAATATTTTTAAATAAGATATTATTCAACTATATTTATTTTAATATAAAACATGAATAAATTATTTTTTTTCTAACATGTAGAATTATTTCATATCAATGAAATATTATATAAATATATGTATTTTAATAATGTATATATATTTATATATGTAAGATTTTATGTATATATTGATGAAAAATAATTTTTGATATTTTTATGATTTAAATGATATTAGAGGCATTTGCTTTAATATCATTATATTTAAATAATATTAAATATTAAATTTAGAAATAACAAACAAAAAAGAGTAGAAGAAAAAAACTATACTTATTGTATAAAATTAGCTTTTTTACCAATTAGCTTCAAAATGATTTTGAAATAGTTTTTTAATACAGAAAAGAATATATTCTAATACAAAATAATATATTATCTATTACTTAATAGATAATCATAAATTAGTCAAAATATATTAAACTAATCTATTGAATAACAGCAAAGGAAAAGTATGATATTCTTATTGTCTATTTAAATATCAAATTAAGATATTTATTTTTTAATCTATTTAAGCAATGATTTTTTTTTTTTTTTTTTTTTTTTTTTTTGTAATCTTAATAACCTTCTACTTTTTATCTATTAAAATATAAAATTAATTTTATAATCCACTACCAAATAATTTTTAGCCATTTTTTCACCTTATAATTTAATTTATATTAATATTTATAATTTCTTAACCTTTGTTTTTTTTTATATTACTTAATCAATTTCTTAAGATTTCAATACAAAACACTAGACATATTTAGGAAAAGTTGGCCTTGTTTCTTATTTAATCTAACATCCAATTGGTATTGCCTATATTTTAAATATAAGTGGCTTAGAATAAAACTTAAAAAGACTTTAAGAACATTAAAATTATAAATATTATTATAAAAACTTTTATTTTTATTATAAAAAAATAATAAATTTAATATAATATTTTTAGACAAATTAAGTGAATTTAGGTCCAAGACACAAACTTAGTCATATGCTTGTGATAGTGACCTTCCAATTTAACAACTATGAATCTCAACTATTAAATATATATTTTATTCTAATACTAGATTATAAATCTTATTTTAAGTTGTAAATTTTTAATTTAAAAATAGACAAATTAAATATTATATTAATTTTAATACTTTCTTAACATAAGAAAATTAAGAGTTTCATTCTATTGTCTTTTGACCTTAAAATTTCTTTATAAACAATTAACAAAAAAAATTATAATTTTTTTTATTATTAGTGAATTTGAAAAATAAGGCATCTATTAGAAGAAGCTTAGCACATCACTGCAATGTATAAAAACTATGAAAATCTTAAATACTTATAAGTGTATATGTTTTGATAAAAAGAAAACTCAATAGAATATGTCATTTTCTTGTTATGACTTTTTAATTACTTAAAAATTTAAAAACCTTAAAAATAAATAAGATATTAATTCTTGCTAATCTTATTTGGTCTAAAAGTAGGTGATAAGATTATAAAAAAACATAAGTCAATACTGATGAAGCTTCAAACCTTCAATTAAAATCATAAATATTTTCTTTAATCAATAAAATTTAATATTTTAAAAAATCTAAGAAGCTATTAAAAAGAATATTTTTACTGTAAGTATTAAGAAATATTTTAATAATAATAAAACTTATTTAAATCAAATATAAATTTTAATAAAAAAATATCTATTTTATTTTAAATTCTTGTATATATATATATATATATATATATATATATATATATACCTCTAATATCTATATGTTTTTAAAATTTAAAATTATATGTATTTTTTAATTGATAGATGTTTTAATTTTAATAAAACCAAGAAATTAATATTTAGAAGTTATTATTAATTATTAATCTTAGATTATATCCTAAAGTTTTTATCTGTAGAGTTTAACTGAAATACTTATTTTAATCACCAAAAGCTCATAATTAGCTAGTAGATGGATAAATAGAGCAACTGATATAAATATAGTTTAAAAAAATCAAAATATTAGGTGTAAAAATAAATTTAAGAAAAGAAGTTAGAAGTAGTTAGTATAAATAGGAAAATAATTAGCGACCCATGTATTAAATATACATGGCAATTAGAACCATTTTTAGGTAAGGAGAAAATAAATATATCAAAAAAATAATTGCAAATAATTTTATTAATTAGAAAATTATTAGTAGCTAAAATATTATTGTATAAAAATATATATAAAAAAATTCTATATTATGGTTTTATTGTATAATATAAATAAAATTAGCTCTTAGCATGTTAATTATATCAAAAGACTATTTATATGATAGAATTGTTAAAAAATATATTATAATTGTTTAAAAAGAAGTAATTTATTTCTATACCTATGTATAGAGAAAATTTTCTTTCTTTCTTAATTAATAGGAAGTGATGTATTAAGGGCTTTAAGTGTAGAATTTCTTAAAGGAATTCATAAAATCATGAGTTATTTAGGTCAATCTACTTGGAATAACTTTGCAAAACAACAATATTCTCACTAATCCTCAAACTACCAACTACCAATATTACAACATACTTAGATTTAAAAGAAAATGAATCTAACAAATAAATTAATCTAAAGTCTTAAAAAAATATGCAACACAAGTATATCTATATACTTATAATAAATCAATTATAGATCTATAATACTAAAATTATAAATCATACTCTATTACTCAAAAAAACTATTAAAATAAAAATTCTAACTTTGATTAGTTTTTATAAAGTTTTTGCACATCTAATGTGCATATGTCTAATATCTATAGAATTCTCTTAAGTTTATTTTTTTAATATATATTTTTAAATATAAAAAATTCTATTTTTATTATTGTGGTATATTACTACTATTGGATGAAAGAGAAAAATTATGGATTATATTATAGAAGAGCTTAATTAAAGAATATCATAGAAAATTATTTTTAAAAAATATATATAAAAGATAAGCAGGTGGTATAATATTTAATTTTAATAGTATTTTTTTAAAATTCTCAATTCCTATTAATAAAGAGTCTATTTTTTTTATAAGGCTATATATAAGATAAAATAAAATAGACTAAAAAAGTAATATTATAAGTATCTTTGAGTAGAATTAAAGAGTAGTAATATTAAAAATGAACTAAGCAAAACAAAGATTCATACTTAGAGAAGTTTAATTATGAATCAAGTTTAAAACCAAATCTCAAGGCACAAACCACACACCTATGGCAATTGCAGGATTCTTTTGTTGATTTGAAAGCAAGTGTAAAAAAAAAAAAATTTACACAATTTGTTAAAGTGTTAGAATTGAGTGACTGAATAGATATTGACCTTATGAAAGCTTTTTAAAGTCATGGTTATTTTAGGTAATTTGGATTTTTGGGTGATAAAAAAAGGTTTACATTTTTTAAAAAATTATAAAAATTGTAGCAAATCAATAATTAATTTTTTTTGGAATTGTAAATCTACTTTTTTAAAATTTATTTTGTGAATTTGAAATTAATTAAATAATTATTTTAAAGTTTATTAAAATTCAATTGGATCTTAAATAATGAATTTTAAAAATAAGTCAAAATATTTATGATCTTAAGCAATCTACTAATTAGATTAATGTGATTTTTTGTGAGCTAATAGTGAATTTACTTTGTAATAATTTTAAAACATTTGAAGGTAAGTAAACTATGCAATAAAGAGCTATTATTATTGTATATTGATATTAAGGTTGGAAAAAGAGGATGGCCAATACCTAAGTGGCTTAGGAAATTTTTATCTCAATTTGTAAATTTAATTTTTTTTAAAATTTGTATATGTATTTTTAATTAGTACATTGAAGTTTATTCAAATTTTTAAGCAATATTGATGGTTTAATTAATAATTTTTGAGATTTTAAAATTACTAAAAGAATTAATTAGAGTATATTAAAATTTAATTATAATATAATTAGAATATATAAATATTTGATTATTATTTAATTAATATTTTATTAAGTCATATTTAAATTTTTTTAGGATTTTATTAGAATTTACTTAGGATTTAATTAGGATTTTAAAATTTTATTTAGGATTTATTTTAAAATTTATTTTTGTAATATCTTAAAGATTTTTCTATGATCTATTTAGGATTTTTTAGGATTTTTTTAATATTCTTTATAATTTTTTAAAAGATACTTTAGTATTTATTTATGATTCTTTTAGGATTTTTTTAATCCTAATAGTTTTTTTAAAGATTTAACTAA